CTTTCTTTTTTTCTGAGACAGAGTCTCACTATGTCACCCTCAGTAGAGTGCTTTGGTGTCACAGCTCACAGCAACTCCAAATCTTGGGCTTAAATGATTCTGTTGCCTCAGTCTCCCAAGTAGCTGGGACTACAGGTGCCCTCCACAACACCTGGCTATTTTTGTTGTTGCAGTTGTTTAGTTGGCCCAGGCTGGGTTTGAACCCGCCACCTTCAGTGTATGTGGCTGGCACTGTAACCACTGTGCTACAGGCACCAAGACTGATTCTCTAGTTATTAACTCTTTATAAAGTCTGGCACTGAACCTTTCTATACAAGAAAAGTCACCTTGGTTTGCCACCAATATAATACTTAAAATCTATGTAATGATTTAAACTTATGGTCTTTCACATTTTTTAAAAAAAGAGGAAGGACTAATGAAATCATAAAATTATTCAAGTATCAAGTAATTATTATTCTAGGTCTTGCTCTAAATTAGGGGTGGGAAACCTTTGGCCTTAAAGACACATGTAGCCTGCTGGGTCCTTAAGTGCAGTCTTTTGATTGAACCCAAATTTTATAGAACAAATCCTTTTATTTTTAGTAATAGTAATACATTTTTTGTTTTTTATATTTTTATTTTTAACATGAATATGTCTAAAATACCAAAGGATAAATTTCAACAAAATAAACTTCCCAGATTGACACCAGTACCATCAGAACATTAGTAAGTCATGAGGGCTAAATCGACAGCTGCTTTGCTTATGACTCAGTTCTAACTTGCCCCACCTAACTGGTGCCACGACCACGTGAGGCTGGTTGGTGAGTGGTTATGGGGGTCAAGTACGCCAGTCTGGTACAGCTTTTGATGATGCATTGCGTACGTGTCTGTCGGAAGTGGAATCTGTGAACACTTGCACAGCTCAACAGTACTTTTTAATTCCATCTGCTTTAGAGCCCATTACGTCAAAGAAGACCAAGAGAACACTGAAGGAAGAAAACGGATCTTTTAATGAGGATTGGGAACTGCAATATTATCTTGTTTCTGCTAAAGAGAAGATGATTTGCTCGCTTTGTGATACTGCAATATCAACATCAAAGAAATTTAGCACTCATCAGCATTATAACACTCATAGGGACCACAAATATTTTAAGTTAGAGGGAGAGGTGTGAAAGGTTGTATTGCAGAAATTAGAAGATGAAAATCAAAATCAAAATCATTCTTGAAAGAATGATTTCAAGCAGCAATACGGCCTGGAATAATGCCACTGAAGCAACTTACAAAGCAGCTTTATAAGTTGCTTTTCCCCAAGCAGCTATATACTTGGGGGAAAAGGAAAGCCACTCAACGATGTAGAAATTGTGAAACGATGTACTGTCAAAGTTGAAGGATGCTTTGATGCCTGTACATTTCAAAGTACAAAGAGCTGCCTCTTTCAAGGAGAATCATATCTGATTGGCAGCATGAATTAACCCTCACCTTAACAGAACAACTACCTGCAATACGTCAAAAGGAAAATATGTGTTATTCAATTGCTTTGGATGAATCAACGGATACACTGACTCAGTGAAGTTTTGTACCTGGGTCATAACAGAAGATTTTCTTGGGTTATAACAGAAGATTTTCTTTGCTACAGAGTTACTTGTTTTGGACACTCTTGTGAATGGAACACATTCCATGTTCAAGAAGACTTCATCTTCATTGAAAATCATTGAAGATGACTTCCAAGATAAATATCATGGAGTTGGACTGAATTTAGCAGATTTAGTGAGTGTATGTACAGACGGTGTACCTTCCATGACAGGAAAACACGTGGAGTTTATTGTATAGGTTTAAAAAGTATGAACAGACCCAGACGCTCTCATTCCCTTTTGTTGTATCTTCCATCAGCAAAATTTTTGTGCTAAAGCTACTATTTTAAGTGACATCTTGCAAAAGTTATCATTTTAACTGTATTTGTGCTAACACATGGCCTGGGCAGTTGGCATCATCCGTTTCAGAACACGCTAAAGGTGAAGGATAAGGTATGCTGGGTGGATTTGCCATATCATTCTAAAGCACGTTGGCTATCACAGAGACAGGTATTGGCTAAAATTTTATCTCTGCAAGAACAGAGGGCTAAATTTTATGAAGAATAGAATCAGCGATGTGAATTCCTCAAAGAAGATTTCTATAGGAATGCAGCATTTCTATGTAAGATCATGTCAAATCAAAACACCTTTGCAAGGTGAAACTAAGTCTCTGTATGTGATATGATATGTGGCAAAAAAAAGAATCTAAGCATTTTGAAAATCATTTTTCAAAACATTTCTTCCAAAAGAAATTTCAGATGAACATTTTCCCCAATAGCAAAGGTAACAGGATGATATATAGAATCCTTTGAATAATACTCAGCAGTTACAGACCTACTAATTGGAGAATACAATGACAGTTTCACTGTCTTTGAGAACTGTGACAACACACTCAAATTAGCATGTCATCCTCACCAAGTTGATATCCCTAAGGCATCTAAAGAACTACAGATGGAACTGATTGAGTTCTCAGTAGATGACATTTTAAAGGCATTGTTTAATGCTACGAAGATCCGATTAAAATATAGAAAAACTCAGTAGAATACCTACGCCTTTGGCAGCATGCCTGAAAAATGCTTTCCTGCTTTTCAACCGTTTATTGCTGGGAATCTACATTCTTCTACCTAACCCAAATCAAGATGCCCTTAAAGTCACGGATGACTGATAACCCATCTAGAGGATCAACTGAAACTATGGACCTCCACACTGCAAGCAAATATTCACATGCTTTCCAACAAAAAGCCAACGGGACAAAGTCATTAAAAGGTTAGTTAACATGAAAATTAACAAGTAGTTTTAATTTTTTGAAATGAAGTACAGGGTAGGTAGATTTTTATAAAATAATGTACATTTTAAAGTATACCTAATCAAAGTGAATGTGGCCTTATTTGATTACAGCTAAATTAATGCAACCTTCCAACATGAGAAGATTCCCCAACCCCGCTCTAAATTGTAGGTTGAGGTTCTGAAAAGATTAGTTAATGTAATCTAGTCACTCAGTACTAATAAGCTCTCCTTTGTTCTGAGGATTGTTACAATCCAGCTGGAGATAGAGAAGTGAATAGTCTTTTGGGGAACTCCAAGTCCAAGGTGATAATATTAATTGTAGCCAATATTAATAACAACAGCAGCAGCAGTCATCACGATTTGAAAATGCTTATTGCATGGCGGGCTATGTGACAGGTGCTTCTTGTATATTATTTCAGACCATCACAACATCCCTGCTAGGTCAGCATCATTGCCTTCATTTGATTGCTGAGGAAACTCACGATCAGAGAGGTTAGGTGACTTGCTGAGGTCACACTGCTAAGAAGTAGCTGACTGCCATTCTGACCTAGGTCTGTAAGATTTTGAAATCAAAGCCTATACCATTTTCACCATATCATAGCACCTCTAGAAGGGATAGAGGTAGAGATGGAAGGAGAGGGTTCACTATCACGGGAGGGAGCCAGACACAGGGCGGAGGAACTGCTGGGAATTGCTCACAGGAAAGGTGTTACAAGAAATTAAATATTACACAGCTACATTTTAACTATGTTTTGAGCTCAGTCCTATTAGAAGATAAGACACTAAGACAGATGAATTCATTGTGAAGGTCTAATTCTGCAGCCAGTCCCAGCTCCCTCAAATCAGCCTCAAAAATAAACCCATCATATTCCTCTGTAAGTTGTACAGCTTGACAACGTCATTTTTTAGCCAGTACAAGCTCTTTGGTTCCAGCAGGTTTTCACTTGGGCTGATGGCTATCAGCGTACAAAGAAGAAAGGGTGGGGGTGAGCACAGCTGTCACAATCCCTTCCCCTGTGGTGTTGGGATCCAAACACGGTGTGGACCAGTATGTTTTGAAAGTTCATGCGCACACACACACAATTCAAAATGAGTTAGGGTCTGGCAAACACATTGTACACATATATACATTAATTAACTCAGAAATTTAAAGATAAAAATGTCTTATTTGAGAAACCCACTAGGCTAAAATAATTCACCTAGAAAGCCAGAGTAGCTGGAGGGGTATTAAACACACTGCGGCCTAGAGCAGGAAAAGGGAAAAAAGAAAGGAGCAGTACGTTTTCTTAATGAGCCTTTCACAAACCACCATTTCATGCTGTTACCCAAACAAGTAAAATCACCAAGGAACTTCAGATCTTAAAGAATATTCAGAGACTGTAGGAAGTGGTACAGATATCAGATCTTTTTTTAAAGGTTCTAAAAAATACTTATTACCTTTACAAAGTGGAAATTTCCTGAATGTACACAAAAGCGTGTTTATAATTACGTGTAAGTATGACCTTCCCACGTATATACACATACTGCACAGGCAAAAGGTACGTAAAAGACTGGGAGGCTAAACGCACAGTCTTGTAAGGATGAGTCAATTTCACAGCAACCTTTGCCTGTGGAAAATTACTTCCACTCTTGAATAAGGAGTAATGAAGATGTGCCCTTCACGGCAAATCATACCAGAGTGACAAGTCATTGCCCAGCTACGATGACAGATGGTATCAATACAGCCTAAATGTGGGTAACAGCTATCCCTGAAGGTGATCACGAGATGCCTAGGAAGGTATAGCAAGGAGACGCTGGGTTAACAGACTGAAAAGACACCCAGGTTGTGTTCTCCATATATTACTTACTCTAATATTTCTTAAAGATTCAAGAAAAATTGAGACTAAAGATGACATTATCTGAAATAGTTGGTGTGCTTGAGCTCCAGTTTTTAAAATCTGCAGACCATAAGCTTATTTTTCTCTTCCAAATGCTTATCCGATTAGAAGTGAACAGTTAGAACAGGTTTGTTTTCTAGGTGAAATTCTCTTTCCAGATCCTACATAGCAAACACACACACACACACACACACACACTCCTTTCTTTCTCTCCTTACAAGTATAAATCCCTGCCGTTAGACTGAGGAGGCTAAGAGCCGAAGAATGTGTTAAAGCAGAATTTTACCTCTTTGCTGATCGAACACAGATGGGGTGCTGAAATCCATGGTAGCCTGTTTCATCATTTATCATCAGAGTCTCTGGAGAGGAGAAAACACCATCTCACACGTTACAGTCAACACAGCAGGCAGAGACAGCATGGCTTGCCAAGACCTGGGTTTGAGAATTAAACGTGCATTAGAGCTGCAGGTTGTTGTCAAGGCGAAGGATGAAAGTAGGTAAATGCTATTCCTGTAAATACCTGCCAGGAAGAGGGTTACTCTCTAGCCTCATTCATCAGCTGTACTTGTGTGTGAATATTATATGCCCTCCTCCCCCAGACGAATAAACAAAATGGCCAAAAAACAGTATTGGTGGGGGCCACCTGCCTTTGGATCTGGGCTGGGAACACACGGCAGGTCACGCAGCTTCTGCAGCTGGAATGTCGCTTTAAACCAACAGAAACCTCAATGGGTGAGTGAGGCTTCACGGGGCAGACGGAGCATGTGCAAAGCTGTCAATGCAGTTTGCATTCGGCTGTGCTCTTGGTGGAGGGAGAACCGCAGTTGGGTCATGTGAGCAGAGAGTGCCACCTCAATGAAACAGGACGTAAATATTGTAGCAGGAGGCTGCTGGCCATGTGCAGTGTGGAGTAATTACCCACTTTCCCAGTCTTATCTTCAGACTCGCTTCAGCTCTGTTCTTGGACAGGGAGGATAGAAAAAAATGTCTCATTTGAAAGGTTATATTTCAAGGCTCGAAACAGGTGGGATGACCTGTTCTGTGGCTACCTCTCAGCCTCTGTCCCCAGCCACACCTGCCATCTCCCAGTGTGCTCATGGTGTCAGGGATGGAGGTTATGAATGTACTCAGGAAATGGACTTTCACTCACCAAGGCTGGCCTGGCTACCGCCACTGCTGGATGCCCAACCTGCCAGCAGCAGAGACCAACACTAAGGTCCTGATTTGGCACCATTCCCTGGGTGATCAGCCAGCTACCTGGTGGCAGGTTGGTTCCATCATGAAAGGGCCAATTTTTTTTTTCATACTGGATTGGACATTTACTCTGGATACAGATGTGTCTTCTCTGCACACAATGTTTCTGCCCAAACCAACAGCTGTGGACTTAATGCCATATCTACTCTCATGATACTCCATATAATATTGCTTCTGATCAAGGAACTCCACAAAAGAAGTGAATTCACTGGTCTTACCATGCTCCCCACCATCCTGTGCTGTCTGCATGGTGAGTGTTCCTGTTCCAGTCCATGTAATCCCACTTCTAATTAGTGCAGACACTCCCTGTTCTGACATGGCCATATTTTTTCCTTTAGGTTTTAGTTTCCTGACTCCTATGAACTTTTATCTTTATGCATATAACTGTGGAAAATTGGGTGAGCATTTATCAGGCATTTCTAGAATGCTCAGATTATCCTGGAGCTATGACTTCACACATCCAATCATATGGTAAGTATTTAATGAGTATTAACTATGGTAGGCAATGGTCTTGGTACTGAGGCCATGGTAGTGACTAGAACGGTATATGTGGTCCATGTTCTCAAGAAGCTTTTAGTTGGCTTGGTGCCTGTGGCTCAAGTGGCTAAGGCATCAGCCACATACACCAAAGGTGGTGGGTTCAAATCCAGCCGGGGCCCGCCAAACAACAATGATGGCTACAACCAAAAAAAAAAAAAAAAAGAAGCTTTTAGTTCAGAGGTAATTTAGGGGGCACCTGCTGTGGTCTTCAGACATCTCAGAGTTTGTGGATGCTGAGGGAATATCTCTGAAGGCCACCTTTGTGAGAACACAGTGACCTTCTTCTTTACCTCATTGATTAGTGCTGCAGTGGCTGCTACCTATAGGGCTCCACTACCTTGCCCAGGTGAAAGATTTAAAGGGGTTTCTCATCCCTCTTGAATATATTTAGGCTCATACAGGCTGGTGGGCATTGCTGTTGCTATGGATATCCACAGATCTGAATCACTTTGGAATTTCTTTTAAAAATCTCAAATATATATATATATATATTGCAGTTTTTGGCCAGGGCTGGGTTTGAACCCGTCATCTCCGGCATCTGGGGCTGGGACCCTACTCCTTTGAGCCCCAGGCACCACCCCAAATAGATATTTTTGAAAAGTTTTCTTCCTCTGAATTGCACTTATTTCATTAGTAGATTTCTACCCCCACTGGAAACCTTGGGGATTTGCATTCAATTACCTCTGGATTGTGGCCACTTCCTCAGCCATCCAATGGATTTGGGAAAATACAGAAAATAAAACATAAGAAAAGCCCAACCCACAATGCTTTTAAATGTTTGTGTGGATGGTGAATTTGCTAAACACCTCAGAAATGTTTCTAGAAACTTCTAACTTTAACCACATGTCTTTTACTTCTATTTTTAATTTGTGAATGACTGGCCACGTTCAAACATAGTCCTGTGGTTTGAATTGAGTTAGCACATCACAGAGATCTGGCTCCAGCAATCTCACTCCTCCTCTCTGTGCCTTCCCGGCAAACTCTAGAGTGTTTAGAAGAATATTTTTCTTTGCATTAATTTTTCTGACAGGAAATCCTTGTGAGGAATCTAATTGAACTGGGCTCTCTGAAGTTTCTCGTAAAGTTAGGAAAACAGAATGTGGGGTTACCAAAGAATGTCAACGTGGCTGTTTGTTTGCTTAAAATAGTTGCTAATAAAGGCAAAAGTCTCACTCTGTAGAGTTGTTCTGCATACCATTGAGGGGACAGAACAAGACAGAGTGTGATGTCCCTGCCAGCAGCAAGAAGAACAACTTACAACGTGAGACACTTTTGGTATATGAGAGACTGCATCTGATCGTTCTAGGCTAAAGCAAAGCTTCTAAAATTTTAATGGGCACACATATCATCTGGGGAATCAACATTTTGACTTAGTAGATCTAGGCAGGGGCAGAGATTCTGGATTTCTAGCAAGTTCTCAGATTATGTTGCTAGTTGGACTGTTCCTTAAGTAGTGAGGGGCTAGAATATTTTTGAAATATTAAGTAAAATAAATTCCCTTATGGGCTTTTTACATGGAAGTTCATTACTGAGCAGTAAAAACTCAAAAACCCAAACTTATTTCCTGAAGGGCCTCAGAAAATGAATCTGCAACAGAGCTAGTCAGAGCTGGAGACTGGAATGACTGGCAACTATTACCATCTTAAATCTCTGTAGCAATCTGTGTGAATCTGTGTTTTTAGGGTAAAAATAAAATCAGCCTATAGCTAGGTATTATTGGGGCCATACATATTAGAATTTCCTCAAAGTTCTGCAACCTTTCTAGCTCTGTGCACTTGGGCAAATTGTTAAACCTCTCTAAATATTTCTTCTAATATGTACACTGGAGATAACGATAGTTCCTACCCTAAAATGTTGCTGTGAGGATAAAATGAGATAGCAAAACAGTGGTATGCTGGTGCTGGTTCCCATCTGCTGTCTAGAGCTGACTTAAATATCCAGGGATTTGTGAGGTGATTTTGGTAGCTTGAAATTGGCTATGATGAGTGTATTTATGCCACAGAAATTCTATGAGTCAGGACTTTTTCCTTTTTTTGAGAGCTGATTTACCAGCATATGCTGTATGTAAAGTATCTGGTGCCTAAAGAGCTCAATAGATGTTAACTGCTCCTGCCTTAATTTCTTTTCTAAATTCTTCCAGTGTTTTTAATTTGAAATCTGTGATGTAGCACTGGGCATCCCATGCCAACTTCATCCTCAAAAAATTTTATAATTAGCTTCTTCTCACGAAATGGTTAATTTGGGGCCTGGTGTGGTAGGTAACCTCCTAGCATTGTGTGAGGCCCAGAAGGGAGGATTGCTTGAGCTCAGGAGTTTGAGGCCAGCCTGAGCAAGAGTGAACCTCCCCTCAACCCCATCTCCACAAAAAATAGAAAAATTAGCCAGGCATGGTAGTGCACACCTGCAGTCCCAGCTACTAGGGAGGTTAAGGCAGGAAGATTGCTTAAGCCCAGGAGTTGGAGGTTGCAATGAGCTGTGGTGATGCCCCTGCACTTCAACCCTGGCTGACAACAGATCAAGACTCTATCTCAAAAATAAAAATAAGCAAATAAACAAAAAAACACCCCAAAACCCCGAAAACAAAAACCTGGGTGCTGCAGGATAATTCTGCCATTATCCAACGATTGCTCAATGTTTGGCTCACCTTGCCTAGGGAACCACTGGGCATAATCTCAGAATTTGGGGTTTCATTGCTTCATTAGCTTTGATCTACTCTACAGGAAGCATTAGAATCCAAGCTGCATAAGCTCAGGATAGATCCCAGGATACCAATATCTCTCCCAAGTTTGTACTGTAATAGGTACGCCAAATTCGCATGAGGAGGAGCACAACGTATGGACATTAGTGCCATAAGATAGGGCTTTGGCCTACTCACAGCTGAGACTTATTTACTGGCAATGAATTATTTGTCCAGCAAATCACTCAGGATTCTTGTGTTTTCATTTTTATTCTAATGTACTAGCTACATAGGTTGGTTCCAACACTGACAAGAGCCTAAATGAAGGGTCTCTGGGCCTGTAACTTAGGCATCCACAGAGAGAAATTAACAGTCCATGATTTGGAGAGGATTTTCTCTCTGAAGAAAGAGTGAGCAGGGAGGTGCAAAGCCGGTGAAGTTGGCTGCTGGATCCAGATCTGGCCCCTTAGATAGAGCAATGGGACTCAAACAAAATCCTTCTCTGATTCAAAGCAGGCTGGTAGTTTCTGGTATCATCTATATATCTCTTCTCTCTCTAGCTCTGCCTCCAGGATCTTTTTTCATTCAGGAGAATTTTAACCTCTGAATTTCTCTTGTCATACGTCTTGATAAAAGTTTTTCAATGTTCAGAGAATCTTTAACTTTATTAGAGTAAAAGCTTATCTTAACTATCTTTATTTTATGAATAGACCCAGATAATTGGTAATAAAGCCTATAACCATCAGAGAAAATAATTTTCTTTTATTTATAGGAAGAAAAATAAGGAAGCTTGTATTATTGTTTGGCTGGTGAAGGTGACACTTCCATTGCATGAATGCAGTGACAACAATTTAATGGCATCAAGAGATTGGA